TAAAGGATATAGAATAGAAGTCAGAGGTAGGAGGCTACCAGGGAAGTCCAAGGTCACAGGAGACAAGGGGACAGAAAAATGGTCAAAAGAGAACCGATGTTGGGGGAGTTCAGGAAAGAAAAGCTGGCTCCAGAAGTAGATGTGTTTTTAAGAGCAGAGATAGGCAGAACTTTTTCATTGATTTTGATTTAAGACTTTGCCCGCATCATGGCAGAAAAGGCCCAGAGTACAAGGGAGGGGATGAGATGGAGCCAGGCAGAGCCCATGCTCTACACCAGGAGCTGGCAATTTTTTTTCCTTTAAAGAGATAGATAGTAAATATTTTAGGCTTTGCACAGTAGTGGTCTCTTGCAACTATACGACTTGGCATACACAGCCATGCAAAGAAGGGGCATGGCTGTGACTTTACTTAGCTTCAAACATAGGAAGGAAAATTTTTTTAAAAATCAGAGAAGTAGCTGAATTTGGCCCAATGGCCCAGCTGTGGTTTTCTGACCCCTGTTTTAGATACTTGAGAGTCAAAATTAACTGGAAGCTGTGTAATGTGCACTGGGCCCGTGCATGAGAAATATAAACTTATTCTGTATAATGGGATTTAATTCAACTTCAAGCCCTGGTGGAAACTTTATTTCAATCAATTCAGAATTATTCTGCTCCCCTCCCCCACAAAACCCCATAACCAACAATCTTTTTTCTGGAGTTTCGTCCAGGTTTCAGGATTATGTGCCTTGTGGAGGGACAGGGCACTGGGAGTGGGGCTCTTGTTCTCAGTGCTGTTAATACAGTCCGACATCTGTTGGGGGTCGTTCTAGCTGGTTTTTGGTCACCAGTGGGAAAGGGCTCTGAGGCTCCATCCTGGGGTTCTTGACACACTCCTCCTTCCTGTCTGGACCACCTGCTTCCTGGAAGCTCAGGTGGGTGGGTTCCTGATGCTTCCCCAGTGGTGTGCTGGAATGCTTGGCTGCTCAGAGAAACCGTGCAGCCATTTCATCTGCTCCTATG